ACCTCGCAGCTGCTCAACTCAAGGTGCCGTGTTCAATCTTAGTTGCGTGTGGGCACAAACCACCATCTCATGTGAGAGTCGAACTGGGAACCTTGTTGTTAGGAGCACGTGCTCTCACCAGCTGAGCCATCCTGTCACCTGTTGGCAGCTCAGTGGTAGCTCAGCTCGGGCTCAGCTCACTGGCTCAAGTGGCAATTGAACTGAGACCCTGTTGCTCAGAGGTCATGCTCTTAACCAACTGAGCCACTCGGCCAGCCCAAGGCTACTAAGATTTTTAACTTTCAGCTCTGGCAAATGAAGTCCTCTATGACCAAAAGTCTCCTAGCTTCTGTTATTAATGCCAAGAGCCAAAACATTGGAAAAGAGATTTGCAACTGTAAGTGCATCACGTGTCCTCAGCGTTCTAACCAGGCTTCCCAAGGTCCTCCTAATATCCAATGACGGGGCCCTGAGAAACTATAGGGTTTTTCCCAGTCCCCCTCTTAACTGCTTGGAGAAACTTTTCTCTAAATTGCGATTGAATCTGTCCTTATTGACACTGGAGCTACAATCTCAGTGCTCAACTGTTATAACGCAGCCCCTGCCCCAGAGTAATATAAGAGTTCAACAATGAGGATAGCTAATAAACCTCAACAGGTTACTATCTCTGAACCCATTCCTTTCTTCTTTTCTAAAAAATCATTTCTGACAGGTCAAGATGTTTTATTCCTATCCAAATTGGAGAATAAACACTGAAATGTAAATTTCCAATATAGATACATAAGGCATCATTTTTATTCCAACCAAATGTGTTAAGCTAGTTTTTGTTTTTCAAATTTTGTGAAAAATTTTTTATTAGTTTTAGGTGTACAAAACAATGTTCTAGTTAGACATTTACACCCCTCACAAACTGATATACCCCTCCCTCAATCTACTACCCCTCTGACATCATATATAACTGTTACAATTCCATTGACTCTATTCCTATGCTGTACTCCACATCCTGTGACTATATATATATTAAATTATAGTTGGCATTCATTATTATTCAGCTTCAGCTTCAGGTATACACTGCAGTGGTCAGGCATCTACACCGTCTATAAAGTGGTCTCCCCAATAACATAGAGGAAAATCTGAGGGTTGCTAGATGGGAGGAGGGTGGGGGTGAGGGAGAAGGTGAAGGGATAAGGCAGCACAAATTGATAACCACAAGATTGCCACTGTGTTGGGAGCCATGCAGGCTGGCTGTACTGAAGCATAACTTGTTTTGCTTCTTGTTTTGCTTCTTTCAGCACCTGGAGGGTGCCTATTCAATCTCGAGGTATGTGGTGAGAATGGCCAGTTCCTTAGGAGACACAAAAAGATAGATGGCTATCTGGGTTAATGGAAGAAAGTGTCCTGAGATACTGACCCCCTAAGGTCCCTCTGATCTTTAAGTTTCTAGTAGATAGTTAATGATCTACCTTTGAATGAGGTAATGCATATTTGTCCCTTCTGTGTTGCACGTACTCAGGATGTATATAATGGTGATGGGAAATAAACTCGGGGCTGGTTGCTAGGAATGACTCCAGTCCTCCCGGACCCCCTTTGTCCTCTTGTTTTCTTTTAAACCTCACCCCCCATTTCAGGTACTGTTCTCTGGAATGCTGAGGCAGGACCCCGGCACCACTGGGATACAAAAGACAGTTTGGGGAATGTAATCAATAATGTTGTAAAGATTTGTCTTATAGATACTTGTCTTATTAGTGAACCCATTTCTTTTGGTTTGGGCCCTTTCCCCCATTTTCTCCTTAGTTCCTTTGCCCTTATTTATTTATTAGGTCAAGGCTTCTTAGAGAAGTATCATGAGGGAATTTCTTTCTCCTGAAAAGAGGAAATAATCCTAGAATTTGAGAGTAGCCGTCAAAATAACCAATCAGGTGAACTGAATGGCCCATCCACATTTTTTATTCGTTCCACTTCTGCCGGCACTATAGCTGAACCTGGGAGCACTGATCCTTTGTCCCTGTTGGATCAGCTGCCATCTGATCTTTGTGGGCAAAACCTTCAACTGATATTGACAGAATCCACAGTGTACC